GTGTAGTGGACGTCTCCCCTACAACTGCGTATCGTATCGCATTCCAATGTGCCGCCTCCCCTAGCAACCAACCGAGAGCTGTCCCCAGATGTTACCGTATCTTAGCAACGGAACTAGTCACCGGCTACTTCTCGGGTTTTCCCAACATGACTCATAGAGAACTGGCGGCTGCTGGTGGGTGTCTATAAGCTTTGTCTCTCCCTTGAGATTCAGTCTGACCAATCTTCTTGAACAAGCAACACCTCCTCCTCTGCCGCTGCCTGGCGACCCTCGCCTCTCCTCCGCCTGCCTGGCGGTCCTCGCTCCCGCCAGCGAGCATGTCCTTCTCTGAGCTTCCTCACCAACCAATTCTCATTCTGCCCATTTTCCTGAACAAGCAACATCTCCTCCAGCAAGCTCCTAGCTGTTAACATTTCATTCAACCAGGAGGCCAGCAACAGGCAACATCTTCCCTAACGAAGCTCCTGCACATCTACCTCCTTCAACACGCTACTCACCGAACGTCTTCTACTGAGCAGCCCCACCACACGGCACCTCCAGCACCAGACTGTCTATCATATAACTTATATATTATACAAGAAAACTACATTAGAGTTTCCTTCCATCCTGAGTGCTAGACAACTTTAATATTTCGATACCTCTACACAAGTGTTTCCGTAATAATGTAAAAGTTAATAAAAAACACTGTTTTTGAGCAGAAACTGATGTTTCCCGTACTAAAAGTAAAACTAAATAAAAGCAGTGTGTTTGAACAGAAAACAAGCGTTTTCCTTGAAAAGACGTCAGTGAACTAAAATACACCTTTTTGATCAGAAGTCAAGCGTTTTTCATGAAAAACTAGAATAAACTAAAATGCACTGCTTTGTGCAGAAAACATGTGTATTTCGTGAAAACAAATAAAACTAACGAATTCCACTGTTTTCATTCAAAATTGATTGTTTTTACTTGAAGAAGTAAAACTAACTATAAACAGCGTTTTAGTGAAAACAAGCGTTTCCGTGAGAGAAGAAAAACTTACTAAAATACACTGTATTTGAGTAAAAACTGAGTGTTTTCAGTGCAAGAAGTAAAACTAACTATAAACAGCGTTTTAGCAGAAAACAAGCGTTTTTTCCTTGAAGACGTCAGTGAACTAAAATACACTTTTTTGATCAGAAGACAAGCGTTTTCATGAAAACTAAAATGAACTAAAATGCATAACTTTGTGCAGAAAAAATGAGTATTCCGTGAAAAGAAGTAAAAATAACGAATTCCACTGTTTTCATTCAAATTTGAGTGTTTTCACTAGAAGAAGTAAAACTAACTAAAAACAGCATTTTTAGGAGAAAAAGCCGTTTTCCGTGACATATGTACAAATTACTAAACTACACTGTTTTTTTTTGTAAAAACTGAGTGTTTCAATACAAGAAGTAAAACTAACTGAAAGCAGTGTGTTTGAGCAAAAAACAAGCGTTTTCCATGAAAAGACGTCAGTGAACTGAAATACACTTTCTTGAGCAGAAGACAAGCGTTTTTCATGAAAAACTTAAATGAACTAAAATGCACTGTTTTGTGCAGAAAACAGCCGTATTCCGTAAAGAAATAAAAATAACACCTGTTATGAGCTAATCTCGTGAAGATGCAAGAAGGGATGTGTGACGGGCTGTAATTTCAAAAAGGTCCCACTTGAATGCAGTGCACAATGTGTGTGTGTGTGTGTGTGTGAAAGGCCTCTGCTCCCATCATTGACTTCTTACGTTGAATACTGCTCCAAAACTCGCTGTACTTGCAAATTCATATACCATATTTCCTTAATGACATAATAAACCAAAGCTTAATTTTGGTTTATCTCCTTTGTCCTTCTTTTAGCACCTTAGAATGTCAACTGCGACTATTTTAGTCCAGCAATATGTCTTGAATTGGCTTTTTTGGATGCATACATAGTTTCTGACCGCCATTTTGAAAATTTCTGTCACAGCTGTCAGAGGGGCAAAATATCAGTGGCACCATATCCACATTTGTTCATCATCTAAAATTCAATAAGTGTGCCAAATTTGATGAAATACTTTGATCACAGAGAAAGCACAATGCGTTTTCTATGCCACCCCACTACATCACCTTTCCCCAGTATTTCATCTCAGCGTCTCCCTCCCTCCCCCCGCAGACCTCAGACTCTCGGTCATAAACAAATCTGTTGGCCTTCTCTCACCCCCTCCTCCCAACCTCTCTCCTTCTCTCTGCATCCACAATCCCCACCACCCCCTTTCTCACCTTCCTGTGGTGATTGCAAGGTCTTCTGAGTTACGGCAGTCTTTGTACAGCCAAAGGATGCGAGTTTGTTGTGTATAATAAAGTACCATAAATTCTAAACAAAATATTCAGCTTTCTATAATTTACCTTTAATCATACTTAACCTAAACATTAACAGTATATACATATTTATACAACATACAACAATTTTGAAGCAAGGTGGAGGTGGGGAGGCAATATAAGATTACAAATGCTTAAGTGCGGAGCTGAGATGGCTGTGAGTAAGGCTGAGTATTGTAGAAGACGGTAGGTAGTCACTGTGCCGTAGGTTTCAGGATAGGTGATCCTGTGGTCACTTCCCAGAGTGAACTGAACTCTCATCGAACTGGAGCTGACGAAAAAGACTTTGAGGTGGCCTAACAACCAGGATATGGAGAAACCCGGAGTGGTAACTAAGACTAGTCATACTCGTGTTTCGTCCCTAGATGGCGTTGCTCGTGGTGCTGGGTAGGTAGATCAGGACAATAGATGGCGTGGTTCGTAACACACCCCCTCCAAAGACCTCCATAAGCGGGCGAGGTGATCACCTGGTGCGTCTGGAGAGTAGCTGCTGCATTCCACTGGAGCTCGGGATAAGGGGTCCGCAATCAGGTTGTCCACCCCTTTATGTGCCGGACCTGTAGATTATAGGGCTGGGTGAGGAGAGCCCAGCGGAGGATTCCTGGTTGGAGGTCTTGTTGGTTTGGATGAACGTGAGTTGGGTTATGGTCGGTGAAGACTAGGGTTGTTTGTGGGCAAGACTGGAGGTAACATTCAAACTTTTATTGCCAACACCAGAGCCAGGGCCTCCTTCTCTATCGTTGAGTAGTTGGTCTGATGCTTTTCAACTTGCGGAGTAGTATGCCACAGGGTGAAGGACATCAGTGGTTGGGTCCGGGTTGTAGGGCACAGCCCCCACTCCGACATGGTTAGTGTCGATTTGCAGATGGAAGGGCAAGGTGTAGTCAGGGGTGGACTACAGGCTTGGAGGCAAGGAAGGCTTTGAGGCGGTGAAAGACTGGTGCACCTCTGGTTCCAGATGTAAGGGACCGCAGAACTGGTAAGGTCTGTGAGGGTCCGGCCACACTGGAGAATTACTGCAGAACCGACGGTAGTAGCCGCATCCCCAGGAAGCGCACGAGTTCCTTCCTCGTCCTTGGAGTGGGGAAGGACAAGATGCTTTAACGTTTGGGTCCTTGGGTCTCACCATACCATGCCCAACGATATGTCCCAGGTAAGTCACGGAGGCTCGGCCAAAAAGCAGATTTAGCCAGGTTTATGGTGAATCCAGTCTCTTGCAGTCGTGCGAACAGTATCTCCAAACGCACCAGATGTTCGTCCCAGGTCCGACACCACCACCAGGTCATCCAGGTAGGCGAACGTCCCACCTAGGTCCTGAATCAGGTAACAAAAAACAAAACAAAGACAATCGGACTATAAAAGGGTAGACAAGGATGCGAGTTTGTTGTGTATAATAAAGTACCATAAATTCTAAACAAAATATTCAG